GGCGAAATCTAAAATACCGTGATTATTTCCCAGTATATAGTGCATCATAGACATACTACATAATGTAGTCTTAATTTCAATGATTATTAAAATCAGGGTAAATCTATTTTATTAGATTTCTGTTCTAGAGGTTCTAATATATTATATCACGAAAAAATTAACAATTTCATAAAGTTTGAAAACATACACTATTTGTTATTAACATATATGTGTCAAAGATACAATTTGAAACAGTCATGATTTTTTTCATTGTAAAACATAATTTTCTGTTTACGTCATAAAAATATATTTGTCTGAAAAAAAGGTGTACAAACTAATATACTTGATTGAGACAGTTAAGTGATTTGAGATTTCGAGTAAAATGATAAAGTTTGAGTTGTAAATCTACAGTAGTGAATACCAAAAGTAATTACGCTAGCTATACTCTGCCCATTCAACTTCATAACAAACAGAACATATATAAATAATAAATTTTGTCATCAGCAGACAACAAAACCACATAATTTTTCTCAGGATTAATATTATCTTAAATTCATCTGAGATTTTCTGCAGGATTAAACTTGACCAAACTCAACAAGTAAACATATCATCGTGGTCAAATATGAAGGTAGCCTGCAGTACCAACACAGCCGATAACAGTCTTATTATTAGTCTTCAGACGTAGAAAAAGCATTACCAGAACAACTTAAGAGATCAAGTTATCTCCCTTAAAAAAACTGATAATAAGTTACCCATCATCCAAAACTGATAAATAGTTATCTGCCCAAAAAGAACTGATAAAGAGTTATCTGCCCTTTAACAGTAGATCAAATAATTATCATGTATAAATGGTTACTTCCACATGCATAAAATTAAAATGCTTTATTATTTACAACTACATACGCCTTCAATTCATTGAGTATAAAATACTTTTCCACGACACACAACATTGATAAATAACATACAAAAACCTTTGGTCATACATACAGTCTTCTTGAAACATACGCTCATTATCTGGTCATTCACACGAGCCCATACATCCCTAACGAGTATACACAGCACGCTGTCCCGTGGAGAGTTGATCAATCATATACTTTAATAGACACGTATACAATAATCGAAACCACCATAGAACCAGAGATTGAATACCTCATACAAAAGTTGATCAAGTGCCAACAAACAGCTCCAGAACACCTACAATCAGTTCACCCTGTTATCTATAAGCAATGATACAGAATATGTAAAACATTATTTTTCTTTCTTTTCTCCTCTCATGAATGACAAACAACAGTGACTCTAATGTTGTCTACAGTGTAGAAATTGAGAATGTATGTCTTTTGTCCTGGTAAATCACGATGGTATACATATGTGGCGATTACAGTGTCTAAGGAACATTGATAAATAAATATTTGTCGTTCGAAATAATGAATCTTGCAAGATAAACATTAAATCGGGAGAACCACTCTGACAAATGATGCTAAATACCTGAATTAGTTAAATTCTTAACCATTATAAACATTTACTCAAACAAGCAGTATTTTGTTGGAAAGCAAAAACCTATGGCATGTGTTTGATCGGTTTCTCTCAAATGTTGTAAAATCAAGTTTGCAGATGGTTAATTAATCGCAATAACAAGTGTCTTGATCTGGTAACAACTATGGCAAATGATTAAATAAGATATATTTCAGTGCCATATCAATATATGGAATAATCGACAAGCAGGTTTTGGCTTGATGTTTTCGATAATTAGAATACAAAATTAAGTTTAGGACTATTTTATGATATCCTTCAACCAAATCATTGCTCAGATCAGTAACATACCTGCAGTATCAACATATATTTATCAACAGAAAATGTTACACTTGTTCTTTAGTAGATTTTCTGCTAAAAACCATCAGTCAACAACAAATATACAGCTAAATCACTGTTCTTGTTTTCTAAATAATTCTTAAAAAAAAGAAGCATTAGGGCAAATTTTATAAATGATCAAATTAAGATGTTCTCTAATTAAGAATGACAGGGTGCATCAATCTAGTTTTACTCAAATTTTGTTTTTTTTATTCACAAAACAAATAGTTTTATCCAAACTCATGTTTCAAATATGGAAGTTTCAGTATAGTTCTAAATAGTCACAAAAGCAGTTAAATTGAAGATAAGCTGCAAAATTTGATATGTGTACAAAGAAATTAAATCACAAAAAAACATACGAGGTAAATTTACCTAATAAGGTTATGTTAGTATAACATACCTCAAAATGGTCCAATATCATCAGACCCCAGACTCTTAGATAAGTGTTTACCTTTGCTGTGATACAATTTCCATTGTCCATTTACATTGGATCTACCACTCTTTCCTGTATGTTATGTTTAGGAACATCCAAATGGATTAAGTTCGTAAAAATTTTCAGGTCAAAATTTATAAATATGTTTAAACTCTTTCTTTTTTTCTTTACTATAAATACACCATCTATAAACTTAAAGTCTAGCTTATTACAAAGCAATTCATGTACAGTATATAACCCGCAAAATTCAAAAATTGTTGATATTAGATTTCGTAAAAGGGAGGTAACAGCTCAATCATCCGGGATGTGTTCAGTTAGGAAAAGGTTTTGAAACATTGCAGAATATCCCTATTTAATAATCCTGATTACAATTATGAATTTTGTTGACAAGTTAAATAAACATGTTAACATTGTGAATTGCCAAAAGCGTTTACACTCAGGATACTTTGTCTATGCGAGGGGAAAAAAGGTCAGTCTAAATGTACTTTTAAATTTAACATTAACTCATTCACCCCTGAATTTTCATAATGAACTACTCCAACCTTTGAATTAGAAGAGTTCAAATGATTTTCAGGGGTGACTGAGTTAAGATAGACAGAACTGCAAATGTTAATGCATGCATCTGAAAGTATCTGTTTAAACATGCTTAAAAGTAACGTCAGATCATAAGGTTTGTTCATATCTCAAAAATGAACAAATCTGGTGCAACAGACTGAGCTGTTTGGAACACAGCAAATGAGAGCAGCCCAGGTCAACTTGTTATTTTGTGAATGAAAAGTATTATCATTATAATTAAACAATGCTGGACTTCAGAAGCGGTTTGAAAAATCCAAAATGTTTTCCTTATTGAAATCATCCCAGATATTGAACAGCAAATGTTGAATTGGAAACAAACAAATAAATGTGAATGAAAAGTGACAGACTCCTCAGGAAACACATCAACAATAACTACATATTACCCTGACAAAGACATCATTTGAAAACCTCAGTCGAGTTTCCCAAAGCATTTCACAACTTACCCAATACATGAAATGTTTTGGTCTTTTTCGGTTTATTAAATTCTTAATAGAATGGTATGTATGTGATATAATTAGCTGTTGATTTTGTTTAGTTCAAACATGTACCGTATTTACCCTGCATTAAGCCAAGGGGGACAACTCTTTGTTCTCCGACTCCAAGTAGGGGAGTGGGCTTATTACAGGACAACGAAATAACATTTGCTGCCATTTCTATTGAACTGCAATATATATGAGTGGGCTTATTACCAGGCATGTGCTTATTGCTGGATAAATACAGTATGCCTTCAATGCGACAATCCAATATATAAATATCTCAATATAAATAAATCTCTCCAAACTTAACATATTTGGTCATCCAAATTAGAGAACAAAAATATTATAATAAAGAGTGTTGCTCCCATGTCCTTCATAAATAATAAAATAAACATCCTTTGTGGGAACACTGCACTTTATTTTTGGGGCCGAGGAAACAAATAATGTATACTGGAAAATTTTCCCCCAGTCAAAACTTTCGCCCTTGTATAAACTCATTTTTTGCCCTTGACATAAAATTAGCATTTAGATAATGGTGTCTGCCTATATTTGCAGTTATGACAAGTTTATCCTTTTTACATACGCAAAAAATTTAACTGCTGCGAAAATTTCTTTGCATACAGTAACTGGTGAAATTCATTTCAAAGCTATCAAAAGTACAGAGCTTGTTTGTTCAAGAGAAAAAACAGTCAACTATCAGTATCATTTCTTTTTTTTAAATCAACACATCGGTAAATATTGGTCTGAGGTTGGTTTCTTTTATTTCCACATAAACGATTTTAAAGAAAAGCAATACCAAATTCACTTCCAAGGGTCTATAATACACGCTTTTGAACAAACAAACCCTGTGACTGACTTTGGTATCAAACGGTTGAATAGATCAACAATGGAGAATGTAAAACCATCAACAATCAGGTTTGTTATTTGTTCTATTTAGTAAATAAATGCCACTGTTGAGAGAGTGCTACTTATTTCTTAGGTTTTGTTTTCAGTACAAAAAACGCATATGTATTGTAGTTATAGGAAATTTTCTAATTCAAAACAGATTGTAAATATTCAAACAGCATTTCATCATTTTTTTTTTTTTATTGAAACGAGAATTATTTTCAAATATTTTTAACAACATAACGCGCCATATTTGATCTTACTTATAGATGTATATTATACAGCTATTGACACTGGATAACAAAATGATACATTGTTCTTCATAATTAACAGTATTGTAAATTCTGCGATGTCTTATAGTTATATTATTCCTATATATATTGTTAAATCATTACACCAGTATTATTCAACTTTGAATCAATTATTTAATAATGAATCAATATTATTTAAAAATGAATCAGTATTATATAATAATGAATCAGTATTATTTCAGTATTATTTAATAATGAATCAATTATTTAATAATGAATCAATTATTTAATAATGAATCAGTATTATTTAATAATAAATCAATATCATTTAATAATGAATCAGTATTATTTAATAATAAATCAATATTCTTTAATAACGAATCAGTATTATTTAATAATGAATCAATATTATTCAATAATGAATCAATTATTTAATAATGAATGAATCAGTATTATTTAATAATAAATCAATATTATTCAATAATGAATCAATTATTTAATAATGCATCAATATTATTCAATAATGAATCAATTATTTAATAATAAATCAATATTATTCAACTATTTAGCAGTACTGACTCCTTGTTAATCGATAACATTTAATCATTAAGTCCATATTGTAAAATCATTAATTAATGATGTTTCTTGTTTCTAAATAAACTGTAGCTTAATCATTAAACAATATTATTTACTCATAATTTTGTTTGATTGGGAAATATTGTTTCATGAATCAATACTGTTTCATCATAAATCAATATTATTCAATAATTAATAGTGTTTACTCATTCTTTTTACCATTAATTAATAGATTTAACCTTTGATGTAATTAATTAATTATATCATTAAATCATTCATTCAGACAACTATACCATTCATAAATAAATGTCAAATTATTCATCAATATTGTTTTATATTGTTGAACAATTGATAATGAAACATGAGAATCATTTTCAATTAACACTGATTGATATTGTTGAACATTGTTATATTTTGTTGAACAATTCATTATATTAACACTGTTCTATATTGTTGAACATTGTTTTATATTGTTGAACAAATCATCAATATTGTTCTATATTGTTGAACAATTCATGAACATTTTTTTCATTATTTTGTCAATAACTAATAATCAACAAATTTACCGATACGATTTATCAATATTAATAAATAAATAGTAGGGAAGATATAACAAAAAGCCCTCTATAGTATTAAGTAGATGAGGCTGATACAACTCTTCTTTAGATAAAACAAGGACAATGTGCAAGACCTCGTTAGAAGCCCTATTTAATTAACATTTAAAGAACATCGTTTTAAATGGATTTCATGGTTGATAAAAACAGGATAAAATCTGCCTATCCACTTTAAATATTTCCTACACTGTTCCAGTATATCAGGCTTTTAATGCTCGTAAATCTACACTTTTAACATTAAAATCGTCAGGTGGAAATCCATCTGTCTATCGATTATTATTTACAGAGAGAGAGAGGGGGAGAAAGGGAGAAAGAGAGTGAAAAAAAGCGAATCAAAAATGTTTAATTAATTAAAGCTGATTTTTCTTTTCTTTTTCGAGAATCTGGAGGATGAAATGATACACATGAATCACAACTCAATAAGTATTATGATATCTGCTTTATGACAAAATAAATATCATAATGTACTGTTTTACTTCACGGAGGAAAGGACCGCTAAATTAATTGAACCTATACATTATCAAGTATTACAGCAGTGTTTGATTTAAACTTACTTATAGGTAACAATTTCTTCTAATATTTATATCAAGATGATAATTTCATAAATTTTAATTACTATATTGACTTTGGTGCAGAGGTAACATTTTAATAGCAGTTCATACTCAACACACAAATATTTCGGCAGTGACGTTGCATATTATTTTTGAGTGTATGCTTACAGAGGGTCGAGCGTCCGAGGCTGTAGCGCTGGAGGGAGAGTCTATGGGAGTTAGCTATAGCCCTCCCATATATAGCTGAAAAAACCCTACAAGGCCCTATAAGCAATCTCCTGTGTTCTGGGATCTCCTTTCAATCTTATTATTAATAAGTAAAACCCAACCATTTTATATGAATAATATTTAATTTTGTACTACACTAAGTAGTTTTTGATTTACACAAACCTCGAAATTTGTCAATGTGTATAGACATAACACAACACTATTTTATCAGACTAAAATTTTCAAGAATTCATTTATTTGATACCGACGGTCCATATTAATCATAATTTAAAAATAAAATAAAAATATATATGATTAGATAAACACTTCTTGAAATTTTCTAGTGTATGCCTGAGCATACAAGCATACATGTATGCTATGCTACTGTTCTGTGAACTAATATCCTTTTTTTTCAAAAGTAAATTATCAATTTGAATACGTTTGAATCAGGGATAGTATCATGCACCGATAAATTGTGATACATCAATGAATCATTTCATCTGTAAAGAATCTCTCAATAAACAGTTCAAAGGAAACTAACTCCAATAAAAAAGATTTCCAGCATTATTAAGATTAGGAAGATATAGTGTAAATTCTTTGGTACATCTGTCTCGACAATTTTTTTAAATTATTCAAATATAAGATTTCAACAATTCTCAAAACATGACCATTTAGAAAAAGGACGACACTTATTTCCTTAGCTGTAGTTATTTTCGCACATTTAAAGAACCTGATATTGAACTAAAATTGGGAACCTTTAAGAGATCTGATATCATGTTCCGTACACACAGAAATTCATCATAGAGCAAGCAGTCTTTAAAATATCTTTTAGGAAAATTCTTAAATGACTGGGGATAGATTTTTTTTGAGTAATGATTAATTTTGGAAAAACTGGGAGAAGATCTAACATGAAACTTTGTGGCAACATTTATGATAAGACTTTGAGGGGAGGAATAAAACACACAGAGATCAATCCCCTTGTAGCACAAAGGTCAAAGATCAGATCTAAATATGCATAAAAAGGGGGTTCATACAATAACTTGTCTACCTGAAACATGTACTATAAAGAAGTAACAATGTTTTCCTTTTTTGCCAAATCAATCACAAAATGCAAGTATATGAAATATACATCATCATAACAATGAGAAATCACAGATAAAACAAAAATTGTAGCATGTAAATTAAAACGTCAGACCAGGTTTGAAATATGCCATCAGCCCTTCCAGTGAATGGTGTGTTGCGGCGTTGCTAGGACACCAGGTGGTCAGATAACCAATCACAGCCTTGAAGCACATCTATCTTTTGATGACAAACTTTCTTTCAATCCAGGAATCATCATGCATTTCCTCTCTGCCATTTCATTTGTTGTTTTGTTCTGTTTTTAGGATATTTTGATGATTGGCACAAAATGATTAAATAATATAAATACAGCTAAGATTCATTCCAGCCACAGAACCACACAAAATACATCCCGAGTGCCTGACTTTAGCTGTAAATGCTGGCAAAGTCTGCAGCTTTCCCGAACAGCTTTTTATATTGGATTTGCATCAGATCTCTGGTAGAACACAAACATATTCCTAGGTTTTGTTTGAAATTATAATATATTTTTTCCCACAGAGTGATGACTATTGATCAACTCCTGGATCAGAAGTGATGGTTGATTGGTCAGTTACATTTGGTTTGGTGCATGACTGTCATCCAATAGCTATCTTTGTTATAGAAACAAGGTCGACCTTTACAACTGGTGAGGAGAAATATCCATTCACATGACTACAGCTCAAAGATATCTCACACGATGCCCATCGGTAAGCTACACTTGTTTCTGACACGCTAGTTCTGACTAAATGGGTTTTAGCCTAGCTTCCGTTGCTGTTTCTATGTTCTAGAGGGGGTTTGAAGTTTTCTGAGCTAGGGCTATTAGCGATAGCCGCACCGTACATCTTGCTAGCTTTGGTTGTCATCTGAGCCATCATTTGTGTAGAGGTTTTGTATCCGCTAATGATTTCGTCCTTCCATTGGTTAATCAGTACCCGGTCCTGTTAACAAAATCAAATCATTGTTAATTCTTCTGGATATTTCACGAGATTCTCACAAACTGTGATTTGGGTATTACTGTATAGCAGAACATTTTCACAGCAGTGCATGTTCTTTCTTGTACTGTTTGTGAAGAGATATTCAACTATAAATTCAACAATGCTGCGAAAATGTCCAGCTCCAGGGACCTATCTGTTTTCTGCAAGTTCTATACTGAGCTAATATTTATTTCCCCAACAAAAAACGTGAAGTTAACACTTCACAAATTGTAAGCTGTTTAAAACCATTTTACTTGAAATTTCATACCGACAACCAAGATCAAAATGAAAATTGTTCAAAGCTCAAAATATATTTTATAAATGTACGATTATACTTTATAAATCTAGAAGATTTTCATCAATAAGAGAAGTAATATTCTGGAAATGACATTCAATAGTTGACATATATTTTATTGTCCATTTTGGTTTTATTGATACGGACATTTGGCTACTACAGACTCCACTTACAGGAGATGTGATGGCCAGTTTTGTGTCGTTTTTCTGAACTATGACTATACAGTTCTCCGTTTTGTTCAGCTTCTGAAATTCTTGATACACTTCTCTGATATCCAACATCGAAACCAACTGCAATAATGAAACATTACATCAATTTTTTATACTGCATCAAAGACATATCAGGGTATAATTTTCACGGATTTCATTAAGCTCATATATTTAATGAAAATGACAATTTATGTAACGGTGTAATGCAAACACAGTAAGCTTACGAATCATGCTCTTCTATATATAGGAGCTAGTTATAATTATTGCACTTAAATAGTGTACATATATATGTTGACAAAATGTCATCAAATATCGCTTCGGTATTAACTCTCTGCAAACTAATGTGTCAAAGACAGATTTTCTTTTTTTGTAAAAAGCATAAAAAGTCATCAAATTCATGCATGCTCAATCTGGAGTACACTGTACCGTATTTGACCTAATAAGGGCACAGGACACCTGTAGATGTGAGAAGGGACCCTCTTATCAACTTAGATTTATGTTGAGTTTTTCTGCTACAGATTATATACTACATGAAACAAGTACCAAGGTATGCTCGGATGTTGACGCATATTTGCAGCTGGGTAAGAGCGAGTGAATATAGTAGTAGTTTCTCAAAATTTCTATGAAATTTCTATTTGTAGAAGATTTTAATTGATTTAATCAAGCAAATGAGTGTCCTCTGAAATTCTCACGTAAAATTAACCCCTTATGAAAATGAACTGATTTACAATACAGTACACATACCTCCACCCCTTTGCCCCGGACCACCTGGCCGTCTTTGTTCTTGCTGTAAAATTCTAATCTATTGGGATACAGCTTGAGGTGTTTCTTCTGCCATGTTTGTAGAAAAGGTCCTCCCAGCTTTAGTACTTCACCCTCCACAATACAGTCCGTTGGACCTGGTACATACGTAAAGTATATAGATATATCATACATGTTTTTCCTCCTTGTTGTTGGGTATAGATACTATCTCTTGACCATCAATATAACTTAATGTTAACCCAAAATATTCAGTGACGTGCCAAAATCTTTCACGTAACATCATTTTATCGCCAGATTTTACTTTACTTTTGGAAAAGTAATTTTCCAGACTTTGTTTTTTATCACATATTCATGAAATTTGGCCTACAGCTAAAGAATAATCTCACATTCTATTGGTAATATGAATAAAGTAGTTATTAATTTCGTAAAATTCTAACCATGATAAGTTAAAAAGGCAAAAACATATTTTTAAGGAAAATTTAACATATTGTCTATGGGAAAGTATAACTTTTATGCTGGGATGAAAAGTAATATCTCAGTAATGCAGCCACAGGTAAGAATATAAATATTACAAATGAAAATGCTGGATAATTCTCTAACAGGATGTCAATTAATAAGTTTTATCAAAATTTGATGTTAAACGAAGTTACAATTTATTTTTATTAACACAGAATCCAATGGGAAAATGACGTCACGTGAAAGATGTATGGCCCGTCACTGTACATTCTTCATGCATGAGAATTGTGACCCTGCTTTATTGCTAGTAAATTTAGAATTACTTTACCAACATGAAATGGAAAAAAATTAAGGGTGATACCACAGGAAATTAACATTTCCAAATGGGTTGTGCATTTGAAAACCATAACTTTTTCTTTTATCACTTTATTAAACTTTAAAACTATTAAAAAGTAGATATTTTCTAAAATATCAGGCCATATCCTGTTGACAACTGAAGTAACAAAAGGTTTGCTATCACAATCTCAAATGTTTCAAACATTACCACTTAAGGACTTGAGGTACAGAGTAGCATCCCTTTCATATTGTATACAGGCAGTTATACGTTATTTTACTGTACACATTATTGTTGTGTTCTCTTTATTTGTACAAAAACAGTTATTGATAGAAAGTTGAGATATTTTAAAGAATTCCCAAATTGTTAAACATTACAGAAACAATTATCAGGATCTGTAGCTCAGCATCCTCAACACTCCAGGGGTTACGCTAAGCATCCTCAACACTCCAGGGGTTACGCTAAGCATCCTCAACACTCCAGGGGTTACGCTAAGCATCCTCAACACTCCAGGGGTTACGCTAAGCATCCTCAACACTCCAGGGGTTACGCTAAGCATCCTCAACACTCCAGGGGTTACGCTAAGCATCCTCAACACTCCAGGGGTTACGCTAAGCATCCTCAACACTCCAGGGGTTACGCTAAGCATCCTCAACACTCCAGGGGTTACACTCACCTTCACTCTCTGAACCCCTGGATTATTATGTTATGGCAAAATAGAGGGTTCAGTGTCCGACTTCAATTGTCCAACATTTAGACATGGTGCACACCAATCTTTTCTAATTTTTAGATAAAAGAAAAATGCCTGCTTCTTCCCCGATATATTACAATCAGGAGTTCAAGGACCAAGTATCATTATATGGTTAGCATTGTTTGACAATGTGTCAGGTGAATGTTAAGTGTTTCTTTATAAAGATGGTCAGACTTAACCCTTTTTTAAATATCATTGGTTCAATCAGGAATAAAACCCTTTTGTTGAGTTTGCCAACAGAACCATTTTGCTGATCCTTTGAGGGCCGGTTCAGGGCAATTTCTTTTTGCAGACAAAGAGTTCTAAAATGTTTTTGCTTCTGAAAGCACCCTTAGTGACACTAAAACAACCTCACTCTCATTTTGATATTCTGATGTGTGCTAGTGCCCAGCTCAAAAACTCTTGAGTGAAATTATTTTTGAACTGCTTCAATGATAAAAAAATACTCACGACCACGACCAACCCCAAAATCTATTGGAGTGAATATTGCAAGTGCTGATTTTCTCTATATTCATACGTATTATAAATTGATGAAAATCTACCGTATCATTCTGTTCTGTATCAGTATGCACCATGCATAGAAAAATGTGTTCTCCACCTCAAAAAGCTACATTTAAATATTTCAAATTCTCAATTAGATGCATAAAAACTTAATTGAACATTTTTTTTCACACTTTATTTCTGTGTATATTGATTCGGCTTAAAATTATAACTCAAGAATCGATAATACAATTGTTATAGGTATATACTCAGTGTCCAAGACAATGGCATCATAATTTGTTTTATCATTTGATTTTTTTTCTCTGTATAAATGATTTTCGCTTATGGCCCGCTCTGATACTAATTTCTGGACATTTCAAACGTACCAACATCCACGTCATCTATCCTTGGTTTTTGCTTCCGTTTCTGTTCCAGCTTATCTGTATCTGTGTTGATTGCCTCGAACACCGTCTCAGCCACTTCCTGCTGCCACCTCTCGGAGACAACCAATGGAAAGTTGCGATACAGTTCTTGGTCGGCTTCTGCTAACTGAAAACACCATATTTCATTTTGTTTATGTAGATAAAGAAAAGTTCCAATAAAGTTCTTCATCTTATGCTGACTGAAAAGACAACATTTTAATTTCTTTTGTTAATACGTATAGTAAGCATAATAATAAGTATAGTAAAGGTCTGATACAGTTCTTTGTCCGCATCTGCAGACCTGAAATGACAATATTTCAATTTCTTCTGTTTATATTGAATAACAAATAAGTAGAACGTTGTTTTGTCCTCTCACAAAATGTACTGCAAATCTATAATGTTTCATGAAAAAATATTTTCGTATGTAATTCAATATGGCAATCATTAAACTCTCAAAAATATTCATTCATGTACAGCCAAATGTGAGATGTACATGTGCTACTACTGTAAATCAAGTGATTTACATTTGACGAAATTTTTACGAATTTGTTCAAATTCAATCTTTCGCATTAGAATTGATGTGTTTTGATCTTAACGCTAACAAACAAGTGTGTGTTATTTTCCAAGGATGTTATCAAAATGTCACATTCTATTTTTCACCTTTTCATCATTCTGAGAATATAGCGAAAATTAGATGTTAAACTGTAGTCCTTTTACAATTTACCACCGTTGTGGAAAAGTCAAACTTGACAAAAGGACCAGTCGGTCTTGAAACGTTGCGACATGTTTGATACATACATTGTTTGTGCATAAAGTAACACTTTGATATTAATTGAATGAGTTTATAAAATTTCACTTTCAATTTCAAATTTCACTACCTACTTTAATGCCTTTTGTGTCTTCTTCATCAAATGATCCTATGTCAAACGCATCGGCTGCGTTGACCTCGCCCCGCGGGGGTATGAGAGGCGGAGTGTATTTCTGTAGGTACACCTGAGTCCAATCAATTGTTCGGAAAAATGGATGTTCCTTCACCTCCTGGGCTCTGTAAACAGTGGTTTCTATGACTCATATGGATTTTTATGGCAGAAGATTAAGGAATGCTTTCGGGATTTTTTTATCATTATACATGTACTGGGAAAATATTCTAAATATAGCTAATTCAGCTTCCAAAGATGAGCAAAAAAATAACAAAATGCATATATAACATTTATCCAAAAATGTTCATTTTCGAAACAAAAAATCTTTAAAAAATACAAAAAAACTCAAATATAATTATAAATCCCTTCTAAATTTCAAATGACAAAATTGGTCTATGAGAGTTATCCTTCTTTATGACATATATGTCAATTCCACTTCAGTTTGGTGACATTTGGTCATACTTTGGCAGATGTTTTTGGGGCGAATGCCAATGTTTCACGAACGAACGTATCAATCTCCTAACTGTAGTGTTTGTACAATAGTTATACAATACGAGGTAGAATGACTAACAAGACAGATATAATAACAAATTTCTGGAATTATAATACCGGATCCCAGTGGGCGACCAGGCAGACGATGTCTGGTGGACCGGTATTGATTTACACTAGCTGCTGACTATATCTGTCTGGTGTTAGCATCAAATTCTGTACAGTATCTTCAAATATATTTCTGCAAATTTAATCTTGTGGATGGAGGTTTAAAACACCGACCTGCAGTACACACTAACATGTAAGAGACACCCAAGGGATGCAATCCTTTTTATAGACACATGATCTTTATCTCATCAAATGCGATGAAATAGGAATAGGAACGGAAATCATTACCCATTATTGGCACATGTCTGTTATATTAAGGTGGCATTTACATAAATTTTGTCAGTTTGTACATTTTCCCCATAATATTTCGTAAATCAATCATTTAAGGTCTTTGTGTATGCATAACAGGGCTTGTGCAAAAGCTGTTCCTGTATCTTTTCAAATTGCAGAAAAGAACCAGTTACATACTCTAAAAGAGGAAATTCTTGCATATAGAAATGCTTACATTTTGACTCAATAAATTTAACCTATCATGGTGTTGAATATTTTTTATGTTGGCAATAGTTCTGAAAACTATACACTCTACATATCTTTTATTGATAGTATACCGCTAATTTACTCAACCCTAAAACTGCAAGCATTTCCATAACAAGGAAATTTCAACTTTTACGATGTTTGTTATACATGTGTATATACTTTGGGTCATGGAATTCCTCGTGGAGGGACCGTATTTATCCAACCCTGTACGCATACATACCCTCTGCCCATACAGCCTAGCCTGTCGTCCACGCTCCGCTGTAGGAGTCCCTCTAACAGCGCTTTCATCTCACACGTCATGGAATCTGGCAACTCAACATTCTACAGCAACAGAACAATCAACGTTTTACAAAAACGTAACAACCAACTCCATCTGCTGTAACGGAACAACCAACTCCATCTGCTGTGACGGAACAACCCACTCCATCTGCTATAACGGAACAACCAACTCTATCTGCTGTAACGTAACAACCAACTCCATCTGCTGTAACGGAACAACCCACTCCATCTGCTGTAATGGGACAACCAACTCCATCTGCTGTAACGTAACAACCAACTCCATCTGCTGTAACGGAACAACCCACTCCATCTGCTGTAATGGAACAACCCACTCCATCTGCTGTAACGTAACAACCAACTCCATCTGCTGTAACGGAACAACCCACTCCATCTGCTATAACG